ACATGAAGCTCGGTGTCTGAATTGTCAGAAAGTTAAGTACGAGCATCAGAGACCTGGTGGTTTGTTTCAGAAGGTAGAAATTACTAAGTGTAAGTGGGAGCGTATCACAATGGATTTTGTTGTTGGGCTCCCACGGACTCAGAGAAACTTTGATGCAGTTTGGGTCATTGTGGATAGGTTGACCAAGTCAGCCCATTTCATTCCAGTGGCAGTNAGAGTTGTGTCGACCGTAAAATTTATGATATTGCATTAATGGTTGGAGAACGAATATTGCTTCGGGTTTCACCTATGAAAGGTGTAATGAGGTTCGGAAAGAAGGGNTTTTACCTCACATTTCTGGAGGGCTGTATAGCGTGAGTTAGGCACGCGGGTGGAGTTGAGTATAGCATTTCATCCACAGACAGACGGACAGTCAGAGCGCACTATTCAGATATTGGAAGATATGCTTCGCACTTGTGTTATAGACTTTGGAGGTTCTTGGGATCATTTCTTNGTCCAATTGGACAAAGATTTGACTTATGAGGAGGAGCCGGTGGCTATTCTAGCCCGGCAGGTCCGGCAGTTGAGCTCAAAGAGTTATCCTTCAGTTCGGGTGCAGTAGAGAGGTCAGCCGGTAGAGGCATCTACCTGGGAGTCCGAGTCGGACATGCGGAGAAAATATCCACACCTTTCCTTGAAAACACCATTTATCCTTCCTCGACTTGCGTGCGCAGTCCGTAAAATTTTCTGGAAAGTTCTCGTGTGAAAAATGAATTAAAATGTGAAATAGAGCTTTAAAATTCAAGTGAGTTGATTTTGGTCAACATTTTTAGCAAACGGACCCGGATCACTACTTTGACAGTTCCGATAGCTCCGTATCATGATTTGGGACTTGGGCGTATGCCCGGAATTTAATTTGGAGGTCCCTAGATCAAGTTATGACCATTTAACGGAACTAGCAATTTAAAGGCTAAATATTCCAAGTTTGACCACGGGGTTGACTTTTTGATATCGGAGCCAAAATCTGATTCTGGAAATTTGAACAGCTCCGTTATGTCATTTATGACTTGTGTGCCAAATTTGAAGTCAATCCGGATTCATTTAATATGTTTTGGCACAAGATTTGCAAATTGAAAGTTTAAAACTCAAAGTTCGAATCGGAGTGTGAATTGTAATTTCAGTGTTGTTTGACGTGATTTTAGACCCCGAGTCAGCCCGTATTAGGTTACAGAACTTGTTGGTATATTCGAACGGGGTCCCGAATACCCCGAAAGTGAAACGGATCGATATCGGAACAAGAATTGGACTTAAGCAAAAAATCTGAAATTTGGGTTCTGGTATAATTGCACCTGCGAAATTTTGACCGCAGGTGCGAGCTCGCAGAAGCGAGACTTCAATCGTAGATGCGGCCTTCGCAGGTGCGGCCCTTTTGTGCATAAGCGGACGTCGCAGGTGCGACATTTTGTCCGCAGATGCGGAACCTCGCCTGGCAGCCCCTTTCGCAGATGCGAGATTTTTCTCGCAGATGCGAGCTCATATGTGCAATCCCATGCACCGCAGATGCGAAAATGCTGGGCAGAATACATAAAATCGGGTCTTAGCCATTTTTACTCATTTTTGAGTTTTGAGTCTCGGATTTGGGCGATTTCAAGGGGAATTTTCACGACATTGAATTGGGTAAGTGTTCTTTATCATATAGTGATTGTATTTCACAAATCCATGTCTATATTCATCATTTATTTCGGATTTAGATGGAAGAAATTAGAATTTTTGTAAAACTTTCCAAAAAATGAAAAATTAAGATTTGAAGGTCCATTTGATATCGGAATTGGACAAATTTGGAATGGTTGAACTCGTGTCGGAACGGGTGTTCGGATTTTGTGAGTTTTTCCGGGATTTGAGACGTGGGTCCATTGCCGAATATTTTAATGAATTTTGGATTTTTATCCGGAAAAATTATAAATTCATATGGAATTAATTCCTATGATTATTATTGAATATATTGAATTTTTTGTGAATCGATTTGAAGCTTTCAGAGGCAAATTTAAAAGGAAAAGTTGTGGTTGAATAATTGATTGGAATTTGCAATGCGAGATAAGTGTCGGGGTTAACCTTGACTTGAGGAAATAGAACCCTTAAATTATTGGTTATGTGAATTGCATGTGAACGATGTATAGGCGAGGTGACGAGTGTCTATACGTCATCAAATTAATTGTTTGCCTGCTTACTTAAAAAATCAAAAATTATTTTTAATCATAAATTAAATATTATAATAATTGTTTCTCTCTTATTCATTGTCAAATATTAATTCTTGAATTCCAACATTAATTGTTACATGTTATTTGTTTTATGTGCCTTAATTGTTATTTGACATTTAGCATATTAAATATTAAACTGCTTATTTGCTCCCTGATTTTCATAATAAATTGCTATTTGTCATTGTTTGCTTCATAATTAAATCATAATTATTGTATGCTTGTTGTCTTATTATTTTATGTTAATTGTTGCATTTATTGGGGAATTTCTTCTATAAGAATTGATTGGTAAATAAATATGTTGGAGGAGCGGGTTGCACGCCGCAACAGGATTGATTATAATGAATATATTGGAGGATCGGGTTGCACGCCGCAACAGACTTATTAAAAGTCAATATTGGAGATCGGGTTGCACGCCGCAACATACTTATTAAAAAGTCCATATTGGAGGATCGGGTTGCACGCCGTAACAGACTTATTAAAAGTCAATATTGGAGGATCGGGTTGCACGCCGCAACAGACTTGTTAAAAAAGTTAATATTGGAGGATCGGGTTGCACGCCGCAACAGACTAGATTAAAATGAATATGTTGGAGGAGCGGGTTGCACGTCACAACAGAACTGAATGTGGATATATTATGAGAGCGGGTTGCATGCTGCAACAGAATTAATGAAAATGATAATTGGTTATGACTGTTGAGTCGCCTTCAATTATTATAAATGAATTACCTGATTTATTCCTATTATTGTTGTTGTTACTAATATTGCGTACAGGTTAATGTAAGTGAACCGCCTTAGCCTCGTCACTACTTCGTCGAGGTTAGGCTCAGCACTTGCCAGTACATGGGGTCGGTTGTACTGATATTACACTCTGCACTTCTTGTGCAGATTTTGGAGTTGGTCCCAGCGGCGTACCATAGACTTGCTCGGATTGCAGCTATCAGAGGAGACTTGAGGTATAACTGCATGGTGTCCGCAGTTCTGAAGTCCCGATCTATTGTACTTTAGCTGTGTGTTTATTTCCAGATAGCTTTATATTATTCAGACCTTTATTTGTATTTATTCTAGAAGCTCGTGCACTTGTGACACCAATTCTAGTATGGTATTTAGACACCGTTGTTTGATGGATTATTTCACTATATTTCAAATTTTGTTTCCGCATTTGTTTCCTTGTTATTAATAAATTTAAAATTATTTTAAAAATGGATAATATTATTCTAACGTTGGCTTGCCTAGCAAGTGAAATGTTAGGCGCCATCACGGTCCGAAGGTGGGAATTTCGGGTCGTGACACTTACTATAGCTCCAAGTCTAGTTCGGCATTGAGATCAAACAAGCTTGATTGCGATTGTGTAGCGTCAATTTGCTGCAATTTAAATCAAACAAACATTATAAGAAAGATGATATATTTAAGTAATAAATCAAATGTAGTCACAAAATTATACCTCATTCACACCTAGGGAACCATCATGCTCAATGTTTGTACCTCTGCCTTGCCCATTACCCCTACCACTGCGTCCACCACTTCTACCGGCACCTCTACCACCACGATTGCCACTACCACTATCACCAATCCTGCCTCCTGCCACCCCCTCTAACACCAGTTCTTGCACCATTTCTAGATCCAAATACACCACGTGGATGTGAACTTGTAAAGTAGCATTCAATTCTTCCTCTATATCGATGCAAATGTGGCCTGCCACGTGAACGAGTGTACTGGGGATCTCGTAGAGTTGTGTCGTCAGTCTCATCTGAGTCATCTTGGTCGGGGTTTGGCACGATCATTTCGTCATCCCTGTTTTGAAGATCATGCACCATCTTCTTCAAATTATGCTTAACATATTGAACCTTCACGCTAGTACCCAGTTCTATATCACAAGCCATGTCAAAATACTTCAACATGCTCCTGTATGTCTTGTACTCAGGAGTCATGTTTGGGTAACCAACTTGATGGAACCGATTCAAGTGTGGCCTAATAACATCGCTTCTCCACCTTGTCAGTATATACCTTTTATCAATTTTATCAATCTTCTTGTGCGACAAGATCTTGAGTATATGGCAACAAATTATCCCTCTAGACTCGAACCATTTGCAGTTGCAACTAAAATAATCATCAATAGGTGTATATTCAACAGTGTACTCAACTGGATTTCCATCATTTTTTTTACAACGGAATAATCACTAACAATGAATTTCTCAACACCAGGGACAACTTGATGATCGTCGGGGCTGCTGACTTCACAATGATACAATTTCCTTAGCAGTGTCTTGAAAAGTTCATACATTGTACGCGTATAACACTGAATTGCCTGCTCCTCCCACTTGAACATTGACTCACACACAATTTGAAAGCCCTTTGACTTGTATTCCACTTCCAACTCTTTCACATGCTTAGCTCCTATAGCTAACTCATACTGGTGAACAAACATCCTAAGAGTGCTTTGACGGGTAATATATCCATCAAAGAATGCATGCATCCCCTCACTTCTTTGCGTAGATAGCATACCAGCCCAAAAATACACATCGAGGTACATAGGAACCCATTTTTCCTTCTCAGAGTAAAGCTTGTTGAACCAATTCCTTGTATGCAAATTATACCTTGCAATATATTCTGTCCATTTTCTCTCAAAAACTTCAACAGTAATGCTATCAAGGACCATGGATTTAAATTCTCCACGTGCAATTTTAGAAGGACGAACACCACTTAAGTAAAGAGGCAACTTTGAAAATATAGGCCAAATACAACACCTATGTATTGTATTTGGCATCACTTCAGCAATGGCTGGCTTAATGCTCTGACACTTATCAGTTATGATCGCATCTGGATGAACATTTCCCATGGCCTCAAACCAAGTTCTAAAAACCAATTTATAACTATCGATATCTTTATGAGACATGAGAGCACGTCCCAGTAAGATGGGCTGTCTATGGTGATTGATGCCAATAAATGTAGCACATGGCATATTATATCGATTCACAAGGTACGTCGTATCAAAGCATATCGCATCATGGAATTGCTCATACGTTGCCTTACAGTGTGAATGCACCCACACCACATTTCGCAGCCTACCAATATTATCAACGTCTATTGAATAGAAAAACTCCCTATCCTTTACCTGTATTTCACGAAAAAAGTTGAGCAGCGACTGTGCGTCCCCTTATTGCATTTCAAAATTCCTACTCTTTAAAATAAAATTTCTACAATCCTTTGGAGTGCAACCCAAATTTTGCGGTCCACCACGTTGAACATCAGCAAGTCTAATATTCTTGGAGGGTCTAATGTCAGATCGTTTGTGAGCTACAAGATCCCTCTTCAAAGAATCACAAACGGACCTATGTCCAGCCATCAGGAGCGATATGTAAGGGACCAAATCATGGTTGTGATCGTGAACAGCCTTAGAGACGCGCCAACAACCAGAATCATCCAAAACAGCAGCGAGCCTAGCTTTACAATTGTTACTCTTGGTGGTAAACTTTATTTTGTGAATCCTAGCCCTATCACAATAGTAAGTTATGTACCTGGCATTGTCACCACCCTTCTTGTTGCAATTGTTTTTGACAACAGAGAATCCTTTCAATCGTGCATGTTCTTTGTAGAATGCAAACAAAGAATTTTTATCTCTAAATCGCATTCCAGAGATTGGACCTACAACCACATCCTTTTCAGTGAATTCATTCTCCATTTCCTAATCAACATCACATAACTCTAACTCATTTCTTAAAACCTGATCCTCATCATCGTCATCTTCTCCGTAATATTTTCCATCAGGTTCCTCATCATTATCATCATCTAAGTGCACAGCATTGTTGAAACTACTGTGAGAATTAACATCGACCCATTCGTATTCATTCAACAAATTATCGTCTGATGTCATCCCTAAAGATCTATACAACTCATCCCTAACCCGATCAAACCTATTATCTTGGTTCATATTCGTGATTGTTGTATTTGTGTTATGTTCATTTGGATTCATATTTTCTTGCACCACCAAATTTTCTTAGTTTGAATCTATTTTTAGATACTTGTAACGACTCGGCCGGCCATTTTGAGTATTACAACCCTGGTTCCCCATTTTCTGCTCAAATTATACTTTACAGTTGTTGTGTGACTTGCTGGGGCAATTGGTTCGGGTCCGGTGAGGTTTTGGAATGAATTGGAACAATTAGTTCTAAGGTTTAAAGCTTAAGTTGAAATAGTTGACCAAATATTAACTTATGTGTAAACGACCTCAAAATTTAATTCTGATGATTCCAATAGTTCCGTATGGTGAATTTGGACTTAGAAGCGTGTCCGGAAAAATTATTTGGAGGTCCGTAGTGGAATTAGGCTTAAAATGCTGAAAGTTGAATTTTGGGAAGTTTGACCGGGGAGTTGACTTTTTGATATCGAGGTCGGAATCCGATTCTGGAAATTGGAATAGATTCGTTATGTCATTTATGACTTGTGTGCAAAATTTGAAGTCATTCCGGATTGATTTGATGTATTTCGGCACAAGATATAAATTTGAAAGTTCAAAGTTCATTAGGCTTGAATTGAGGTGTAATTCATGATTTTAGCGTTGTTTGAGATGATTTGAGGGTTCGACTAAGTCTCTATAATATTTTAGGACTTGTTGGTATATTTGGTTAAGGTCCAGAGGGGCTCGGGTAAGTTTTGGATGGTTAAAGGATCACTTTTGGCCTTTGTGAGATTGCTGATATCTGCTGCTGCATTTTTCTGATTTTCTCTTTCGCGCTCGCGAGTGGGCCCTCGCATTCACGAAGAGTGTTTTTTGAGTGTGAGGTTTTGTTTTTCGCGTCCGCGAAGGGGAGGACGCGAACGCGAAAGTATAGTCTGTGTGTGCATCGCAAACGCGTGAGAGGTGTCGCGTTCGCGAAGAGGAGTGAGGCTACTGGGGACTCCCGGGTCCTTATTCTACATGTTCGCGAGGTGGCGGTCACGTTCGCGAAGATCTGAGCTGGTAAAGCTTCGCGTTAGCGAAGGGTAAGGTTTGCAAAGCTTCGCGTTCGCGAAGCCACTATCGCATTCGCGAAGGGTTAAATTTGTGGGCAGTCGAGTTGTGCTTCGCGAACGCGAGGGACCTGTCGCGTTCGCGAAGAAGAGATGTCTTGACAGAGAGTTTAAGTTCTGAAAATGGGACTTTGAGCTCGGGAAGAGGCAATTTTCGGGAGTTTTTCAAGGAAAACAACGGGGTAAGTGTTCTTAACTCAATATTGGTTGAATTACCCGAATCCATGGTTGTTTTTATCATTTAATTGGTGAATTAAGTTGGAAAAGTTTGAAAACCCTCTTAGTTTAAATTGAGGATTTGAAGGCCGAGCTTTGGTCGGATTTGAGTAATTTTAGTATGGTTGGACTCGTGGTTGAATGGGGGTTTGGATTTTGTGAGTTTTATCGGATTCCGAGACGTGGGCCCCACGGGCGATTTTTGGGACGTAATTTCGAATTTTTGGAAAATATTAGTATTTTAATATGGAATTAATTCCTATAATTTTTGTGAGCTGAATCAAATTGATTGTGACTAGATTCGAGTCATTTGGAAGTTGATACGTGCAGAATGGAATTTCTGGAGCATTGCTTAGCTTGCTCGACATTGGATTTGGCTTGCTCGAGGTAAGAAACTTTTCTAATCTTTGAGGTGAGGGTATGAACCCTGAATGTATGTATTTCGTGAATTGTTGGGAGGTGACGCACATGCTAGGTGATGGGCGTGTGGGCATGCACTATAGAAATTGTGACATAATCGTTTCTGTGCAATTTTGTAGTTAAATGATCTTGGCATTTTCCATGTGATTTTATGAGTTAAAGAAATTTAGCTAAAAAGCATATTAAAAATCATGTTGAGGCTACGTGCCAGTATTATTGGGACCCACAAAGGTCATATTGTTGTGAATTATTTATTTTAAATTGAAAATTCATATTCAGTCATAGTCATTTCATTGCATATCATATCTCAGTTATTATTTATTGAAACATCATATCATCATTTTGGGTTATTCTCATGACATTGTGAGCCCATGAGAGAGAGATTGGAGAGATTGATGACTGAGGGAGGCCGAGGGCCTGATTGTGAAGATATTTTTTTTGGGATCGGGTTGCACGCTGCAGCAAGCCATGTTGGCTTTATATATTTTATACTATTGCACGTGAGTTGGCCGTGCAACACGTGAGTTGGCCGTGCAGATCCATATATTATACTATTGCACGTGAGTTGGTCGTGCAGCACGTGAGATGGTCGTGCGGATCCAGATATTATTATAGCACGTGAGTTGTCCGTACAGCATGTGAATTGTCCGTGCGGATCCAGATATGATATTATAGCACGTGAGTTGTCCGTGCAGCACGTGAGTTATCTGTGTTTATAGAGCTTAGGCTGTAGGAGCCCCTCATGAGTCTGTACACACCCCTAGTGAGTGCAGTCGACTATAAACAGGGATCGAGCTGCACGCCGCAGCAGAATTTATATAGCGTTGAGTGATTGAGTGTGCTGAACATAGTGAGAGAGAATGCGAGACAGTGAGATTGAGTACTCTGAGAGTGTGAGTACATGAGTAAAATCGACATACATGCATAGAGATGTATTTTTCTCATGTTGTACGGTATCACATTATTCATAATTTCTTAAACAATGTTGACAGATAGGCATAGTGATACATTTGTTTTACATTGGTTATCTGGAAAGAAAGGAGACATTTTATTTATTATTGAAAGGATTTGGGAAAAATTATTGTTTTCAAACTTATTCATATTTTTGGTAACTTCGGTAAACGATTTGGGTTTTCATTGATGTACTTGAAAGGCAGAACTATTTTCAGAAGTCACGATTTAGCTGAGAATTTATTCTTTGAGTTACTTCTGGTATTACTTGTTTTATATTGTTATGAACTATTGTTGGTTATGGAAGTTGGACTCTGACCTTCGTACAAGCTCGTCACTACTTTCAACCTAAGGCTAGGTTTGTTACTTACTCAGTACATGGGGTCCGTTGTACTGATACTGCACTTCTACACATTACGTGCAGATATTGGATGTCATTGTTGTTGTGTTCGATGGTTGCCGGATTTGAAGATGTACCTGCATTCCGGTTGTTGCTACCTCTTGTTCATGGTAGCCTTAGATTCATGAAAACTTTGTTTATGTACTTTTCAAACAGATGATGTATTATTTCATACCAGCTTTGTATACTCTATTCTTAGAAGCTCATGATTTGTACTACCAGTTCTTGGGGATTGTATAAGATTAAGACCTTTATTTACTTAAATTGCTTTAATAATCATTATTGGAATGGGATATTTGGAAATTGCCTTACCTAACGGGTTGGGTTAGGTGTCATCACGACTAGTCGGATTTTGGGTCGTGACACAACTTGACTTGGTTTGATAAGGAGGAAGTATACTAAATCGTATACCGTATTTGTTTTTAAGAAAATACAATAATTTGTATACACATAAATACAATGAAAATACAAATATAATGCAAAGACTCCTCAGCTACCAACATTTAATTTTCTCATACCTCAATGCTTGGGAATAGGAAGAGCCTCTCCACATTTAATTGTGTTTTGGAGGGGAAAATGTAGGCTAAATAGTTAGGGGGTCTTTGATGTCTTTTCACGGGTGTGGCCAAGGTTGGGTCACTAAAGTTGGGCCGTTTAGCATCACTCGATATATATATATATATATATATATATATATATATATATATATATATATTTCAGTTATTTTTTTGAGAGCAGCTATACAGTATCATTTTCACATAGATATTTGACCATAACATAAAAACTATCATTGGTTGGAAGATTTACATTACACAAGTAATAAACACATCTTTCCACTATGAGAATAACTTCATTAGTTTGTCTAATACAAGAATAATTCATAAACAAAAGCAACTGAATAAGTTCAAATGAATAATCAAGTCACAGAATTACTAGTACATGTAACTACTATAAAACAAAACACTGAATCAAGAGTTTGTATGGTTTTCTTATTAATATAAAAATGTAAGACGGTTGAAAAAAAAATTGTCAGTAACTTCAATTTGTCAAAAGGTGATTCCTCAGGTTGTATCTTCTTGTAAATGACATGTTTCCAACTGAATTCTCAGCAACTTCCTCAGGATATACAAAGTCAGGATCCTTCAATTTGTCAACATCTTCTGGTAATTCAGCTTCAATCCAAGAAGACCAATCGACATCATCGTCTGATTCATCATTCTCCATTTCCCATGTCAAGTACTTCTTTTGTTTCTGAATTCCATTAACCTTCTCCACTAGTGTTAGTAACATTTGATGATTCAACACTTCATAATCTCTGGAAGATGTTTGCACAATAAGAAGATAAACAACAACAGCATCAACAACATACGCAGTGCGGTCCCACAAGTGGGGGTCTGGAGAGGGTAGTGTGTACGCAGACGTTACCTCTACCTTGTGAAGGTAAAGGGTTGTTTCTGAGAAATTGCATAATAAGAAGATATGTAGATTTTGTTATGTTGTTTATACCTGTATGTCCAAATGGAATATAGAAGTTGGCATGACGCGAGTATCACAAATAGAGACCTAACTATGCTCACAGTCCAAGCTTGATCATCAAGTTCGTTTGCTCCATATCGAAGTATGGCTACTTCAATCAAGAATGTGAGGCATAATCCTACAACAAACGAGAAATGACAAAGCAGTAA